TTGTCCCCCTCCCTGTTTTTATATTATTTTTGTTTCCCTTCCCCCTCAGTCAACTTTTAAAAATAACTTTTTCTTGTTGCTTGTCCAAAAAACAACATATAGAATTGTATTGTGTCCATAAAATGTCCATAAATAGTACCATACTGTAGATATCTTTTTGCAACTTTTGTGCTCACTCAAATCAAGTTTTAACATTTATGTAAATTTATACACAGAGAGGGATTCATTCATTTTTTTCTTTTTCTTTTTATGTGCTCTTGAGCTATAATTCATGTACAGTGAAATGCGCAGAATTAAAGAGTTACAGTTCACCGAGTTCAGGCAAATGCACTCACCCAGGTCACCACACCCCTATCACAATCCAGAACTTTCCCATCACCCCCAAAAGTTCCTCTGTCTCCTCCCAGTCACCCGTGCTCCCCATCCCAGGTGAACCCTGATCTGCTTTCTGTCACAGTACATTTGTCTCTTCTAAAGCCTCCTATAAATGGAATAATGCAGCATGTATGGTTTTGTGCTGGTTCCTCTTGGTGTATTTGGGGTGCATCTGTGTAGTTGCGTGCCAGTAGTTCATTTTTATTCTTGAGCATATTCCATCGTATGACTGTATTGTAATTTGCTTGAAGGACATTTGGGCTACGTCTAGTTTGGGGCCATTATAAACAAAGACTTACAACTTGTTACATCTTTTTGGGCTCATGTTCTCCTCTGTCCTCAGTAAGTAGATGCTCAAGGAGTGGCGTGGCTGGGACATAGGGCAAATGTATGTTCAGTTTAGTAAGAAACTGTCTGCGCTTTTCCCAAAGTGGTTGTACCCATTTTAAACTTTCATCAGCAACGTGTAAGAGTCCTGGTTGCTCCACATTCTCACCAAAATGTAGGATGTCATTCTTTTAAATTTTAGCCACACTAATGGTAATGTAGCAGTATCTCATGGTGGCTGTAGTTTCATTTCCCTGATGACTGATGGTGTTAAGCACTGTAAATTATTAGATAATGCTTATTAAAAAATAAGCATTTATTAAAATAAGCACTATTTAGTGTGCTTATCATTTATGTATCTTGAGAAATGCCCACTGGTCTGTCCATTTTCTTTATTGGACCATTGGCCTTTGTATTATTTGATTGTAGAGTGTATCTATATCACAAAGATGCTCTTACATTCCAGAAGCTTTATAATTTAAGCTTTCACATTTAAGTCTGTGAGCTACCTGAAATTAATTTTTGTCTGGATTGTGAGGGAAGGATTGACGTTAATTTTATTTCCACGTAGAGGTACATTTGTTTCTGCAAAACTTTTATTTTTCTCATTAAATTGCTTTGGCATCTTTGTTGAAAAACAGTTGACTACATAAGCATGGGTTTATTTTGGACTTTATTCTGTTTCATTGACCTATTTTCTATTCTTTTGCCAACACCACCCTATTCTGATTACCATAACTTTGTAAAAAGTCTTGGAATCAGGCAGTGTGGGGCTTCCATATTTGTTCTTCTTTCTCAAGATTGTTTGGTTATTCTTGATCCTTCACTTTCCTGTATATATTTTAGAAATGTCCATTTCTACAAAAACTCCTGCAGATACTTTATATGGGATTGCACTGAATCAATTTGGAAAAAATTAGATCTTAGCAACAACATTGAGTCTTCCAATCCACGAACATCATGTTTCTCATCACTTATTAAATCCTCCTTAATTTCTCAGGCAATGTTTTGTGCTATTTGGGTGTATGTGTTTTGCACATCTTTTGCTAAATATATCCAAACATCAACATCAGAAATAATTAGCATTTGAATTTGTTGCCATTTCTTCACATTTTTCTCTTATCTATAAAGTATTCTAGTTTCCATCATAAATGAAATTCAAGGAGAAATACATATCATGTTATACATAGTACATTATTAATAGCGTACATTTTTATATAATGTCTTTATTTGGAAACAATTTCAAACTTATAGAAGATTTGCAAGGGCAGTATGAGGAACTTCTTGAGGGGCATCTGGGTGGCTCAGTCAGTTAAGCCTCCAACTTTGGCTCAGGTCACAATCACACGGTTCATGAGTTTGAGCCCTGTGTCAGACTCTGTGCTGACAGCTCGGAGCCTGGAGCCTGCCTCGAGTTCTGTGTCTCCCTCTCTCTCTGCCCTTCCCCTGTTCGTGCTCTTTCTCTCTCTCTCTCAAAAATAAATAAACATTAAAATTTTTCAAAGGAACTTATTGAATTGTTTAAATTATTAAATAAGTTGAATTATTTTTAAATTACTTGAATTTAAATTACCAATCTGATATATCAAGATCCCTCAATACATTACCCTACATAACCACAATACAACCATCAAAGTCAGGAAATAAACACTGATATAGATTATTAATATAAAATCTTCAGATCCCATTCAGGTTTTACCAATCATCCCAATAATGTCCTGAATGGCAAAGGATCTCATTGGAATCATCTGCTGGATTAGTCTCTTTCAGTCAGGAAGAGTTCTTTAGTCTTTCCTTGATTTTCATGACCTTGACACTTGTGATGACTATGAGGGAATAATGTTGTAGAACGTCCCTCGGTTCGGACATGTTTGATGTTCCCTGATTAGGTCCAGGCTGTGCAGCTCTGGGTTGGTTGGAATTGGTTAGATGGGCTGGAGCATCAGAAAAGCAGAAGAGTGTTCTCTCATGGCATCCTATCAGGTGACACACAATTTCGATCTGCCCCCTTCTTGTTGATATTCACTTTAATCACTTAAGGTGGTCTGTGAGTCTTCTGCACTGTGAAATTATTCTCTTTCCCATTGTAATTAGTAAGTTTTGGTAGGGCTAATTTAAAACTATAAAAATTAAAAGACCATGACAATTACCACTCATTCTTAATATAGGTATGCTCAGGTCTTTGTCCCGTTAAAAGAGCTGGAAACATGTAATATCTGCAAACCTTTTACTAAAGATCCATCTTTCTTTTCTTCTTCTTTCTTCTTCTTCTTCTTTTACATTTTTTTTTTTTTTTTTTTTTTTTTTTGTTTCTGAATTTCTGTTTTGTACCATTTTCACCTGGTGGTTTCACCTGGGTGTGTGTTTCTGATTGGTTTTGCGCACGCGCACGCGCGCGCTGCGCGCACGCTGCGCTCACGACATTTTGTTCATTTCATTCATAAATATTTTCCATCATCGTATTTATTTCATTGTTTTATTCTTTCTTCATTTTCAGTTGGGTTGGGATGGGACAGGGAGGGGACTCGGACTGATAATAGGCGGATCAGGTATCAGCACAGAGCCCGATGAGGGGCTCGATTTCACGACCCTGGGATCATGACCTGAGCTGAAATTAAGAGTCGGACACTTCACTGACTGAGCCACCCAGGCACTCCTAAAGATCCATCTTTAAAGAAATCATATTTCCATGCTTTTTGTTCCTATGAAAAACAAAACAAAAAAAAGAAGAGTTTCTTGATGCCTTAAATGACCTAAGAGAGCTGGACTAACTCATCCTGGGCTCCCAAATGTAGTCCTGAAAAGGTGACTGAGGGTTCAGAAGAGTCCCCACCCCCACCCTCTCTCATAACAGTCTCTTCCAGAGGCTCAACTGCCAGTCACTAGCAACTCTCTGTGGTGCGCCCCTGGCATGGAATGAGCCACACCAGCACAGGAGCCAGGACCTGAACAGTTAGAGAATCTTGTTCCCAGGAATGGGGCAGGAGCAGAACAGTATGGGAAATGTCTGGACTTGACTAAGCCCTATATTTGGTAGGGGATGAATAGGGAACGTGTGGCACATTCTGGCCAAACTGTCTCTTGATGTCCTGCGATTTCTGTCTCAGTGACAGAAGGAGCCCTACATAGTCTTAACCAGAGAGAGGACAGGGTTCCTGGGTTGGCAAAGTTCCTAGGGCACTGCTTTCAAGGAGCTTGCCTGGTGGAGGCAATGCTTATTATACAGATATCCCCATGTACTCCCAATCACCCTCCTCCTCAGCAAATGGGAGCCTTTACTCGGAGTACCACATTGAATTCAGAACTCTGGGAAATAACATTTTTTTTGAAGTCACCAAAAAATAGTATTAACCCCAAAGGGGACATAGGGCATAAACAGATGAAAAGACAATCATATAGGGCAAAAATCTTAGAGCCACCATAGGCAGCAATCAATCCAATCAGTTGTCACAACAACTCTGCAGGCTATCTATTATCCTGTTTACAGAAAGGATATGGAGTCTCAGAGAGGCTGAGGAAATCGTTCACAAAGCAAGAAGTGGTAGGACTAGGTGCTTAGAATTTATTTACAGACAGAATGTCCGCATGTGAAAAGTTTCATAACTCTGGAGTATTACAGCATCAATGCTGGAAAGGCCCTTAGGGATAGTGCACTGGACAGCCTTGTTCTACAGATGAGCAAACTATAGCAAGAGAGCCTATTTGATCTATCTCCAGTGTCAGTTGCCTATGAGAAGAGTCAAGAACTATCAGGTCTTCAGACTTTCATTCCAAAGCTCTTCCCACCCTCTCCTCGTACACGCTATCCTTACACTGACATTGATTTCTCCCTTTTTAAATTACTAGGCTTTTGAAACACATGCTCATGCCACGAAGGACAATGAAAGGGAAATCAGGTGTCTCAAGGTCACTGCTACTTTGCAGGAAGTGCCTGTAGCCTGAGCATGTATCCAGATGAGCTGAACTAAGAGACACTGTAAGTTTGCTTTAAAATGTGCACATATTACAGATCATCCACATGATCTGCTTATGACAAAGCACTTTGTTTTTTAATTAGAGCGAGAGAGTGCAAGTGTGGCAAGGGCAGAGAGAGAGAGAGAGAGAGAGAGGATCTTAAGCAGGCTCCACTCTCAGTCCGGAGCCTGATGTGGGGGCTGGATCCCACGACCCTGGGATCATGACCTGGGCCAAACTCAGGAGTTGAACGATTGAAATACTGAGCTACTCAGGTGTCCCACACTCCTTCTTGCTTAGGACCAGGAAAAAAAAAAAAAAAAAAAAAAAAAAAAAAAAAAAACAGATGCTGGCTTACAGATTCATTCATTCCAGGTGCAAATGAAGTAAAGTGCTCTGTACAACAAATGTGTAGCACATAAAATATCAAAACATATTTCTTGAATAAGCAAATGATAGTAAAAAGCAGTAGTGAGAACTGGGTCTCCAGAGAGCATGTAGTTACAGAAGCATGCCCAAACTCAAAAGAACTCTACATCATATTCTCACGGCAAGCTGCATTTATATTTCAACAAAAATATGTCAGCATCGAATTGCATTTGTTCACATTTTCTTGCCTTTTTAGTTTTATTTTAATTCATGTTTGGGTTAGGTCTGCATAAGCACTATAAACATAAAAAGCTTATACCCAATGTTATGTTTACTTATATTTTAAGGGCACAAAAAGTTGTCTTTTTTTTTTTTGTGGAGATTTTTTTTTTCCTTTAAGATGGAAGGGTACAATATTCAAGTTTGAGAACACTGTCTATCACTGCTGGCAAATAACATCATTTTTATACATTTCTTCTCACTCCACACCATCCTCCTCGATCCCTAACACCCACCAGACGCTGGAAGCAAGCTCCCCTTGAGGCTTACCTGCAGGGCAATTTCCTTCTTCTTGCTGCCCATGGCTCTGCAAGGAAGACAGAAGCCCTGTTACTAAGGGCTCCAGCTGTTTCCAACAGCAGCCTGGAGACAAACCGCTGCGAAGACCCACAAACCCAGAGGTAATTATAAGTGGCAGCAAAGAAATGCCCTGATGCAAAATGAACACCCCACGGGGAAAGTGGAGCCCGCAGCCCGCAGGGTCGTGGCTCTCCGGACGGTTTTCTGCCAAGACCCCTCCCCGCATGGAGTCGGGGAGCCTGCGACGCAGCCCTTCAGGCATCAGAGCTCCTGGCGAAGAATTCAGGCAGGAAAAGGCCACGGAACCCTGTTATCCTTACTGCTGCCGTGTATTCCCGGGAAACTGAGACACCGCGACGATCTCTCGACAGGTACACTGTCCTCGACGTGCTGCAAGCGAGTTTCCAATCTAGTCTGCGGCGATCCAGCCACAGTCGTCAGGGCAACAAAGCGTAAACGTCCAGGTAGTAAACTGGCGTATGCGTAAGCCACGCCCACTGTGGGCCCCTCTGAGAGGCGGGAGGCAGCCCCGCCCCCTTGCTGTCAGAATTGTTCTGTAGGAACACTCCCATTGGCTGAAACGTTTGTCAGTGTCTGGGGATTGGGATCCGCCCAGCAGAGACCCTGGGCACGCCTGTACTTTACGGTTGAGTCGCCAAGCCCTGCATCCGTCCTGCCCAACCAGAGCTGGTGTGCAGCTTTTCTGTTGGTACGTAATGCATGCCAGGCAGCGGTGGCTCCAGGTTTTGAGGAATCTGAAGGGATTCCCTTTAACAAAGAATACAAAATTACAAATGCAAAATCATGCATGAAAGTCAAGTGGAACAAATGGAAAACAGTTACAAACAAGGTGTGAGTCGTCTACACCAATTAAAAGACAGAAATTGTCAATGGATAAAACAGCAAGGCCCAGGGGCGCCTGGGTGGCTCAGTCAGTTCAGCTTCTGACTCCAGACTTCCACTCAGGTCACAGTCTCAGGATTGGTGAGTTGGTGAGTCCGTCACCTTGCGGGGCTCTGTGCTGAGGGTGGGGAGCCTGCTTGGGACTCTCTCCTCCCCTCCTCCCTCTCTCTCTCTCTCTCTCTCTCTCTGTCTCTCAAAAATAAACAAACTTAAAAAAAAGAAAAAAGCAACACCCAAGTGTGTGTTGTCTATAAGAAATTCACTTTAAATATAAAGACACAGATAAGTCAAAAATAAAGGAGTGGAGAAAGCTGTGCCATCTTAACACTAACCAAAAGAAAGCTGGAGTAGCTATCTTAATTTCAAGCAAAGCAGACTTCAGAACAAGGAAGTTTATCAGGAATAAAGAGAGGACAAAACATAATGTTAAAGGTGTCACTTCCCTAGGAAGGCATAATAATATTTAATGTGTATGTACCTAACAGTAGATCATCAAAGTATATGAAACAAAAATGTATACAACTGTATAGAAAAAAATACACGAACTTACCATCATAACCAATGACTTCAACACCATTTTTTAGTAATAACTAACTCCAGCAGGCAAATCCAGCAAGGATATAGTTAAACTGAACAACAATGTCAATCAACTTAATCTTACATTTATAGAATACTTCATCCAACAACAGCAGAATACAGGTTCTTCTCAAGTTCACATGGAATATTCACCAAGATGGACCCCTTTCCAGGTCATAAAACATACCTTAACAAATTTAAGAGAATAGAATTCATACAGAGTCTATTCTTAGACCACAGTGGAATTAAACTAGAAATCAATACCAGCTGATGAAAGAAATCAAAAGGATTTAAGTAAATTGAGAGCTACTCCATGTCTGTGGATAGAAAAAAATCACTATTCTTAAGATCTCAATTACTCCCAATGTGATGTGTAGATTAAGCACAATTCCAATGAAAATCCTAGCAAGCTATTTTGTGGATGTCAGCCAGTTTATTCTAGAGTTTGCATAAAAAGGTAAGGAGGGGTACCTGGGTGGCTCAGTTGGTTAAGTGTCCTACTCTTGATTTCAGCTCAGGTCATGATCTCAGTTTGTGGCTTCAAGCCTCACATGGGGCTCCATACTGACAGTACAGAACCTGCTTAGGATTCTCTAACTCCCTCTCTCTCTCTGCCCCTCCCCAAAGACTCACATGTGTGCTCTCTCTCCCTCTCTCTCTCAAAAAATAAATAAACATTAAAAAAGGTAAAGAGACCCAGAATAGCCGACACATAATACTGAAGAGTAACAAAGTTGGAGAACTGATGCTACTGAACTTCAAGACTTACTATAAAGATGCAATAAGCAAGACAGCATGGTATTAGAGAATAGATACATAGATCAATGGAACACAATAGAGTCCAGAAACAGATCTATATAAATGTGGTCAACTGATCTTTGACAAAGGGGCAAAGGAAAGTCAATGGAGAAAGGATGATCTTTTCAAAAAATGGTGCTGGAATAATTGGATCTGGACACAGATCTTACATTTTTCACAAAATTAACTCAAAAAGAATCATAGACAAATGTAAAATACAAAACTATAAAACTTCTAGAAGAAAACATAGGAAAAAATCTAGGTGATCTTGGATTTGAATTTTTAGACATGACACCAAAGGCATGATCCATGAAAGAAAAAATTTGTAAGTTAGTCTTCATTAAAATTAGCGACTTCTCATCAACTATACTCAAATTAAAAAAAAATCTTTTACACACAAGTGGGGAAGGGAGAGAAAGAGAGAGAGAGAGATAAAGAGAGAAAGAGCGAATCCAAGCAGGTTCTGGGCTGTCAGCGCCGAGCCCAATGTGGGGCTCAAACCCACAAAATCGTGAGATCATGACCTGAGCCAAAATCAAGAGTCAGATGCTCAACCGACTGAGCCACCCAGACACCCCTAAATTTTTTTTAAATAAAAAAATTTAAACATGTGCTCTGCAAAAAATTGTTAAGAGAATTAAATAGAAATGCCAGAAACTGGGAGAAAATATTTGCAAAACATATCTGATAAAGGACTGTTATCCAAAACACACAAAGCTCAATAATAAGAAAACGATCAACCCAATTAAAAAATGGGCAAAACATGTAAACAGATACCTCACCAAATAAGATATACAGATGAAAAGTAAACAAATGAAAACAAAATACTCATCCACATTTGTCACTAGGGAATTACAAATTAAAGCAATAATGAGACATTTCTGCACACGTATTAGAATGGCTAAAACCCAAAAAACTAACAATAATCGTTCACAAAAGTTGGCGAAGAGTAACAGAGCAATAGACACTCTCATTTGTGGCTGGTGGGAATGCAAAATAGGATACGGCCACTTTGGAAGACAGTTTGGCGGTTTTTTTACAAAGCTAAATACAGTCTTACTATATGATCTAGCAATGATGCTCCTACATGTTTATCCAATTGATTGGAAAACTTAGGTGTGCACAAAAGCCTGCATGTAATGTTCATAGCAGCTTTATTCACAACCACCTCAAGTTGGAAACAACCAAGATGTCCTTCAATAGGTGAATGGATAAACAGACTATGGTACATCCATACAGGGGTGTCTGTAAGACACAGCATTACAAATTGGGTCTACTAAATGCAAGTAATGTGTGTTGCCACAGAGTGGTGGTTATTGAAGCTCTTGAATGGTTTGAAATCTCCCTTAGAACTTCATTTCCAAAATAAAATTCAAATCAGATGCCAAATTCCTGCCAGCACATTGAAAGATACTTTTTGTTCTTTTTGAAAGGGTTAGATGTCTCACTACTGGTTGGTCTCTATTATGAAATGTAGTCACATCTTTGCCAAGTTAAACCGCAGGACAAATTTAGGGCAACATGTCTTTATACTCCGACGTTATGCCTGCTGTCCTGTGCAATTATTAATATCAACCCTTTTCACTTTCAAAATAAAGTGTACAGTTTGGACAATATATGGCCACCTCAGTTTTTCCCCAAATGGATCACCCCAGCTTTTTACATCTTGATTTAATTAAATTTCCATCTTTTATGTATTTTATGATATCCATCAAAGATTTGATTGCTTTGCCCAAAAGTCCTGCCCTAAGGAAGGCACTTTGTTTGTGTTGCTCTGTTTAATGCAAAAGCTTCTAACCTTAAAGGTTACTGCTGTGTTTTGGCATCTGAAAGAAAGAAAAAACAAACAAAAATTATTCTTACTCCTACCGGTTATGTTCATTGCCACAAGATGATGGTTTGCTCAAGGGAAACCCTTCTGTGATCCAATTTGGATACCAGGAGCATTTTCTTTATTAAAACACTGAGGATTGTGTTGTGACTGTGTAAAACAAGAATGAACTTACTTTAAGAGAAAATCACAAACCAATGCATGTATCTCCCCAGGTAGCTTCCAGTTTTTCACGTTAGATGATAAAAGCATAGACATATTCACACCTCTCTGCTTCCAGATATTATGGTTTCTTTTGCCATAAATGACAACATGTCTCTAGTGTGACTGGCTCTGAGGAAAGCAGCTAGGAGCATTAAAATCTAATAGACTTGTGGGATGTCTAAGTGGCTCAGTTGCTTAAGCATCTGACTCTAGATCTCAGGGTTGTGAGTTCAAGCCCTGGGTTGGGCTACATGCTGGGAGTGAAGCCTACTTTAAAAAAAGTCTAACAGACTTAGGTTGGGTCCTTGGACCTACCAGCTGCTAGCTGTGTGAGTGTGGGGAAGTTATTTCAACTTCCTCAGGTTCAGTTTCCTAGACTTTAAGATGGGAAGTAGAGTACTCAACTTTCAGGGATGTTGTGGAGACAGACAATGCCTCCTAAGTTTTCTTGACAGTATAAAGCCATTACTGTTGCTGTTGTTGAGCTGTCATCCTCTCTCCTCAGTGTGGGGCCATCGCTGGGAGGTGGCTTCCCAGCCAAGGATCACAGTGGCCATCGCCATTCCTGGCAGCCAGATGGAGCCATTTGATTAGTTTTTCTCAGCCAGGGTGGAGGTGATGAGCGCTGCTTCTGAGCCCAAATGGTGAAGTATCAGATGTGGACTCCCCCAGACTCCGTCCCCCATCTCCC